AACGACCCGAACACGAACACAATTTTTGAGCACGAAATATAAACGAGCCGAACACGAGCTGAGCATGACTCGCTTGTGTTCGGCTCGTTTACACTCCTTGTCATCACTGCCCAAAGATAAGTATATCATTAAAATTAGAATCAATATGAATATAAATACTCTCTCTAAGAAATTAATACTTTTAATAAGATAAATTTTTAACACACTAGTAATCGGAGTTGAATGCTCTCAACATCACCTCTAAAATTTTGATATTATTTCACAAAATTAAGTCCATATTCTATAGAACCTCTTTATTGAATTCTTGGAGATCAAATGTTAAAATCAATCATATATATGTGACTTAAAAAAAAATCATTAGAAAATAAATCATAAGTAAGAAACAATAATAACTTTTTTATGTAAAAATAAAAGAAATTAACATTTCACACACACGGATTCTCTCTCTCAAGTATTTTTTAGAAAGCTTCAAATGCATGGAACTCAGGGTCCGTTTGGGGCAACTTATAAGTGCGGGCGGCGGCACCATACCATTTTGTTCTCGTGTTTCGCCAGCTTATCTGAAATTGTGTTTGAGTTTTTACACTAAATGCAGAACGCAGGTCGACCCCCACGGTCGGCCCGTAGACCGCATTTCAGAATAAACAGCTTATTCTGAAACACACAAGCTGCCCTAAACGGACCCTCAATTCATATGAATTTAAAATCAATCATATATATGTGACTTCAAAAAAAAAAAACATTAGAAAATAAATCATAAGTAAGAAACAACAATAACTTTTTCATGTACAAATAAAAGAAATTAACATTTCACACACACGGACTCTCTCTCTCAAGTATTTTTTAGAAGGCTTCACATGCATGGAACTCAATTCATATGAATTTATATATCTAACAGCTAAACTTTAATTTTTACATATATATGTCTTCTTCTCTATGCATAAAAAGCATATTTCATTTTTATTATGCATGCAGATGACGATAAGAAACTTTCTACCATATATGTAGATGATCGTTATCTCTTTTGTACATCATAGATGTATATTTGCATACTTTTCATATATATTTTTTAATTAATGTAATATATAATTTTAAAAAAAACATATTTTATTATTTAAATTAAAATAATAATATTTTTGATTAGATATTAAAAAAATTAGGTATTATGAATTAAAAAAAAATAAATAACAATAAATGCATTTGCAGTAGCATTGACCACCACATATACTTTTTTCTACATGATGGCGTAATGGACGGCAAGCATCGTCAACTCGCAAAAGTAGGAACGAGCAAACTATTTGTTTATACGCCCGCAATTAAACGTTGTACGGCCAATGAGGTGACGGAAGCAATAAAATTTTATCTTTTTTTTTTAATTACAACTAAATATATATTATTTTGTCCGAACTAAGAGTTTATTTGGGACTAGGGGTGTAAACGAACCGAACACGAACGAACAAAGCTTGTGTTCGTGTTCGGTTCGTTTAAAATTTAGTTTGTTTGAAATAAGCTCGTATTCGTTGCTTAACGAACGAGCCGAACACGAACCGAACACGAGCTGGTCGCGAACGCCAAGCCAATTTGATATCCCTAATATTAATATATAAAAATAATATTATATATTAATTATATAACTTATATTATATAAATATACAATATCTATATTAGTATATTACTACTATAGTATATTAATATTATTATTATTATTATTTTATTATATATTATAATTTATAAAATTTAATGTTTTAAAATATAATAAATTTTTTATATATAATTATTTTATATTATTTTATATTTCAAACAATAACGATTCGAACACGAACGAACGCATCACTGTTCGTGTTTGGTTCGTTTAACTAACCGAACGAAAAAAATTTGTTCGTGTTTGTCTCGTTTACTTATCGAACGAATCGAACACAAACTCGTTGACGAACCAAACACGAACTGTTCGCGAACAACAAGCTTTTTTGACAGCCCTATTTGGGACAACCTATTTGATAGGGTGGAATTTTGAAAATGTACCTAGCCTGATTGGTTAAATTGCGATTTCAAAGTTTTTACGTTTCCAAAACGCTGAAAATAAAGTTTTCACACTGCACATGTCTAGGTGTGGTGACAGTTTTCTGACAGCGATCAGACTTTTCCAAAAAATAAAAATTGTAATAGCTACCGCATCTAGTTTTTCAACCAATTATTTTTAATTAACTTACCAACATATTATTCAATAAGCTGCAGCTGACCCAAACAAGTCCTAATTCCGCCAACTTTCAATAGTTAGCCACTCCTTGCAGATCAGAATACTATGAGATGTAGGAAAAACACACACACACACACACACACACACACACACACACACACACACACACACACACACACACACACACACACACACACACACACACACAATTTTTATATTATTTCTACCTTAAAATAAATTAAAATTTTCTTCTTATTAAAATTTAGTCTGAATATTCTATCACCTGAGATAATTTTTTTCCTCAGAATAATAATACAAACGGAAATTTACATATATAACATTTAATTCTCATGCATTTACATATCTCACATTCAAATTTTAATTTTTAATCTTTATTTTAAAAGGTGGATTTAGGGTTGTAAACTAGTCGAGTATCAAGCTCGAGCTTTGGTCTACGGGATCATGCCAGCTCGCGTGTCTACATGTTTATTATAAAAGAGAGAAAATAATATTAATTTAAAATAACTTTATTGTAAGTTTGGCAAGTAGAATGAATAATTAAAACATAAATAATATAAAATTATCTAATATATATTAAAAAATATTATTTTTTTAACATTTTTAATATTAAGTTTTGGAATTTGATATATTAAAAATATATTTTCTATTAATATTTTTTTAAATGAACCAGCTCACGAGCTAATGAGTTGAGTCGGGGCTAGCTTGAGCTTGATTTATTAGCTCATATAGCTCAATTCATGAGCCACTTTTTGAGCAGAGCACGAGCTAACTCACAAGTCGGCGATGACAAAAATTTAACTTTTCAATTATAAAAAAAAACAGAAGTTATGAGTTGGGTGCTATGTATGTAAATTCCCCTAATTAAAAAAAAAGCAAAGTTAGGGAACCTTCACCTTCTTAAAACAAGTCGTCCGTCTATCAGTCGACAAAGCGGACATGGACGTCGCGGAGAAACCCTGGCTTCATAGCCGCGCATGGTGGTGGGCCCGCTTCAAACGCCCATCATTAGCCGCAATCCTCCTAGCTTCCGCTTCCATCGTCTTCCTCTTCCTCCTCCAGCCCTCCTCCTCTCCACCTGAAACCCCATTTTCTCCGCCGGCGACAGCCGCCCCCATCTCCGGCAGCCGCCCTCCGGTCCCTCAGAGCTGCGCTGGATTCTACGATGCCGGACCGCCGAGGAAGGCGGTTTTCTCGATACAGGAATTCGGCGGGGTTGGCGACGGCCTCACGGTAAATACGGCGGCGTTCCGGCGGGCGGTGGAGCGGTGCAGGGAGTTCGGGGATAAGGGTGGGGCCATGCTCAATGTGCCGGCTGGTCGATGGCTCACGGGAAGCTTTAATTTGTCCAGCAATTTCACGCTTTTCTTGCATGATGGGGCCGTGATCTTGGGATCAGAGGTGGGGTTTCGCTTTGTTTTGTTTTTTCTTCCATTTTCTTATTGATGAATATCATTTATTTTTTAGGGCTCCATTGTTTGAAATAGAAATGCAAGTCTCTCAAGTCTGTAAAATTATTGCGTACGAAGAGCGTGCACAGAGCGCTTTGTGTGCGCTTTCTGATTAGAGTTGTACAGGTTTGGATTGATGTGCAGCTATAATCGGAGAGCGCACGCACGCAAGCTCGTCAAATTTTGTCTTTTAATACAGAAATGCAATTCTCTCAAACTTTGAAAAAAGTAATATTTTATATTGTTTGAAATAGAACATAACACTATTATAACTTTAAAATGTGAATACACACCTTTTCATGCATGACATATTTGTAAAATTTTAATGTTCAGTAGGGTATGCATGTAAATCTTCTCATAAATATTTAATAGCAGCTCAATTACTTAATGAATGGTGGAAAATGGGCCTCCTAATAAGTCAACACATGTATGCAAATACTTGAAAGAATTTTTCTTCTTTTGACTTTTGAGTGCTATGCTAAAGTTCTAAGCTTTTCAGCTCATATTTATAGATCGTTTTGACTTCTAAACTTGTCATTTGTGTCTTGTTTTCTCATATCTTTAGCTCTGCCTAAGAAATGCACGTATACCATAGTGTTGTTTGTTCTCATGATCTTTGTAAATATAGACAATTTACATTTATACCACCCAAATCCTTATGTCACATAAAAAAAAAAATACCACTTTTAACTTGTCAAACGTGAAATACACCTGTTCATGTATAGGCAAAATGAGATATTTGTAAAAATTAAAGTTTAGGTGTTAGATATGTAAATTCATAGGAATTAGCTGGTATATATATATGTTGATCTTCCCAAAAAGCTAACTATTTTGTTGTGTTGTAATATTGAAGGACCCCAAGGAGTGGCCGTTGATAGAGCCTTTGGTGTCATATGGGCGAGGAAGAGAGAGACCGGGAGGAAGGCATATCAGCCTCATCCATGGCAGTGGCCTCCATGATGTAGTTTTAACAGGTCTCCTATTCACTCTTTGAATTTTCTCATATTTTGCAATTTCAAGGTTTTTTTTTTTTTGACTTCTTGCATATTGTGATGGTTTATGTATTATTTATTCTGAATATGCGACTTCAATGAAGTCTTGTTGGGTGGGCCCGGGTTTTTTAATTAGTATATTTCATATAGTGCTCGTTTTACAGAAAGGATTTATTTTTTAATGTACTAATTTCCTTTTTCATTCATTATGTCTAAAAGTATCTAATTTGAATTAATATAACTAGATACAAAAATCTAATTATTGTTTCATTATTATAACAACACAGATCTAGTTTGAATTAACATAAATAGATACAAACAGCCACATAAACGTCATTTGTCCAAAAATTGTACGAACCAAAGTGGAAACTTGAGAGTTTTCTTTCATGAATTCACTTTTAGCAGGAACAGAGAACTTGTTTGTCCGTCCAACAGGTTTGTATGTCATTCAATCAAAGACTCAAATAGTCTATTTGTATTTACACTCAATTTTTTATTAATATCAGAACAATTCTCATGGATGGTATTGGTTTACAGGACAGAATGGCAGCATTGATGGGCAAGGGAATATATGGTGGGATCTATGGTGGAACAGAACATTGGAGCACACAAGAGGACACCTTGTCGAATTAGTCGACTCGAAGAACATTCTAATATCAAATCTTACATTCCGCAATTCTCCATTTTGGACAATCCACCCTGTGTATTGCAGGTAGATTTCTTGAAGTTTCTTATACGAATGGGGAAATGTTCTTTCTCTCCTTCTGGGGAGTTCTTATTTATCTAATTTTTTTTATCCTCCCAGTAATGTGTTGATGAAGAACCTCACTGTTCTGGCTCCTCTTCACTCTCCCAATACTGATGGAATTGATCCAGGTATGAGGATTTTTCTTAAATGTGTGATGCATGCACAATATATCAAGAGCACAAAGTGAAAAATATTTTTAGTAGAAATAGAACAATTTAAATACTATATCAGCCTAAAAACTCTAAAAGTAGCTCCAATTATACGCATATTAAAGCTTGATGATGATGACCGAATTTTATCTTGCTTGCTACTTCCAACTTGTTGATTTTGGCGACCGATACAACTTGCAGACTCGAGCACAAACATATGCATCGAGGACTGCTATATCGAAAGCGGCGACGACATGATTGCCATAAAAAGTGGTTGGGATCAGTATGGCGTTGCGGCCGCTCGTCCCAGCTCCAACATCATCATCCGAAGGATTTCAGGAACAACCCCAACTTGCTCAGCTGTGGGAATTGGAAGTGAAATGTCCGGCGGAATATCTGACATACTAATTGAAGATCTACATGTCTGGGACTCCGCGGCCGCGGTGAGGATAAAAACGGACCGAGGTCGAGGAGGATACATCACAAACGTTACGATAACGAATGTGAAGATGGAGAGGGTTAGGATTCCTATAAGATTTAGTAGGGGATCAAATGATCATCCTGATGATGGCTGGGATCCTAGAGCTCTTCCCCAAGTCAATATTATTAATATCAGTAATGTTAGCAGCTTCCAAGCAGAGAGAGCGCCCATTCTTGAAGGCGTTGAAGGAGCTAAGTTTCAGGGCTTATGTTTAAAAAATATCAATTTGCGTATAATTCGCCATGATACGAAATGGCACTGTGAGAATATTGATGGTGAAGCTTATAATGTGTTACCAGTACCATGCCCACAGCTTAGAAGGAATCAAACTTCATCTAAGTGTTTTCACTAAGATTTTAAATTTGTTCTGTATATTCTTATTGTATTTTCTCATTTTTTTTATGTAGAAGAACGTTGGATAGATCATGTAAGCAGAAGCTAAATTAGTCAGCAAATTGGTGGATGGTGTTCTTATTCTTCACAGGCTTGTACTGAAACAATGACAACAGATTTTTTTTAGTAGAGAATTGACACATTGAACCTTTTTATTTCATATCAAAATTTCTTTACGGTTTCCATCTATTTCTCATTGGCTCTCCTACCCATCTTTAGTCTACATAACGCCCAATTCTTATTTATTTACGTATCGAAAGTCTTTCCTTTAACATTTATAACAACCAAATCTTTCACATTGCATCAAAAGTATTATTATTTTTACTCTTAAAAGGTGAAATATACATTTTCATGCATATTTAAGCTGGCATTTATATCTAAAAATTATTTTTAGGTGCTATATATGTAAATGCATGTTAATTAAATGAAAATAATTATTTTAAAATATTACCTTAAGGCTTTAAATGTTCTTAGTTATAATATTAGGAAATTAAGAATGAAATACAAAATTATTGTACACATAAGAAAAAAGAGAAATCATAAATAACTATTTAAGCATTTTCCTAAATTTATTTTTGAGTTAATAGTGAGTTTTAAATATAGAAAAATTATTTTAGCTTTTGGTAGCTGAAAATTAATTGCTTAATTTTTTTTTTTTTGATAAGTTAAAATTTGCAATAGCTCTTAACTTTTTTTATAATGTAGTCTGCAAGGGAAACCTAAAAAAATAGCTATATTGACCAAGGGAGAATGTATTTTTTTTTAGGATTTTAACATTGAAACATAATTGGCGACCATTTAACATTTAGGATGCGTTTGTTTAAGCTTTTAAAATCAGTTTTGTTGCAGGGAAAAAAATTGCGTACGATAGACGTAGGCAGCGTTGCGTGCGATTTCTTGGTATACCGAGGGTATAATGGAGTTATATCTGCGGTATAACCCCTTATAACCTCCATATAACCTTAACCTACTATATATGATAATAGAAACGCGGAACTTATTTGTATATTACAAGTAGGTTACACTAATTTACATAAAAGTTACAAGGGATTATAACACAAGTATAATCCCTTTTATCCTCCCTGTAAGCTCGAAATCGCACCTCTCGAAATCGCACCTCGAAGGAAAATTTTTCCTTGTTACAGAAGCTGTGTTTGGGGGAAAAAATTTGGGTGCGATAGACGTACGCAGCGCTGCGTGCTTTATTAGGGTTATACCGAGGGTACAAGGGGGTTACATCCACGGTATAACCCCTTGTAACCTCTCTGTAACTTGTTGTAACCTATCTATTTGTACCCTAAAATAAGTTTCTTCTGTTATCATATATTAAGAGGTTACACGTAAGTTACAGAGAGGTTACAAGGAGGTTACAAGGGCTTATGCCGTGGATGTAAACCCCTTGTACCCTCGATATACCCCAATATTGCACGCAGCGCTGTATACGTCAATTGTACGCAAATTTTTTCAGTGTTTGGGAAGCATTTGGTTCTTGCTTTTAAAAGGTTCAGTTCGGAACTTCGTTTGGAGTTACCGTGGAATCACGAACGCGGAAAGACTCCTGGGTTTCGGCGTTCACGTACAAAATTTTGAACCGCAGTTTGCTATTATGCCCTCGCTCGAGCATCGCTCACAAAGTCCTCTGTAGCGTGCTCTAGAGTGTTCCCCGGAGTCGCCTCGCCTTCTTCTTCTCTCTCGACCTAGCGCACCTGATCTCGCCTCGCCTCCGCTCGTCTGGTAACCTCTCCGACACTTCTCTCCCGCCAATATCTCCCCTTCTTGTTCTCTTGAGTTGTTCCTACGGTGTTTGAAACTCGGTTATTTTTCTTTATGGAATTATGCATTTAGGATTTAAGTTTTAGATTTTCTGGTTATTTGATTATCTTATGGCTTCATAATGTCCCAATCTGTTGCGTGGTTGGATTTAACAATCTCCCCAATTTTTTGTGCGTGAGTTAAGCAAGTCTACAATACCTGTAGAGTTAAAATGATGGAGATCTGCCGTTTTGTTTTTATTTCCTGTCATGTTCCAAAGATTGTGCTTTCTACATGCTCTATGTTCAAACAAAGAAAGGTTACAAAAATTGATCATTACTGTCAACAATTCATGTTATGTGTTGATAGAGAGTTCCATTCACTGCAAGTCTCGACAAAATGTTGTTGGAGCAGTTCCATACCTATTGCATTGAACTACAGTCCTTCATTAGTTATTGTCATTGAGAATTTCATTGAACTGTTTTGACACTTGATTATGCATTTACATATCAAGAGCCGAGACTTTAATTGAGAAGTGTTTGTGTATTCAGATATTTATTACATTGAAGTGGTATGTATTCAGATACCCAGTTGGTTTGTGAATGTGGAAGCAATGCATCTCATACACTTGTCTTTTTTATTGAATTTACACACATACCATTCAATTCAGCCGTATATACATATCAGTTTTGTGGTACTTTTTTCTGTGATATGAAACATTTGGGTGGAATTTACATGGTGATTGTGGAAGTGATGCTTGTGCCTATTTTAGAATTGTCTTCATAGAGATGTAAGTAGGGAGTTTTCAGCAGTTCAATGTTCATTTGATGGCTTCTTTAACTTACAGTTCAATATGAGGTAGTCTCGTCTGAAATGGCTTTGGCCGCCTGTCCCTCTTTTGGATTTTGGTTCCTGCCTCTTTATTCTAGTGTTAGTTTTTTAGAGGATTATAAGGAGTCATTTGACCCAAGGGATTCTTCTGCTTTTCTACATACACGTGTTTCTGGCAACCAAGATCCTCTGCATTATAGGTCCACTGCTTTCTTTTGATGACAGATTATTCATCTTCATGTGATTGCTCTGAACCCTATGATTTTCTTCTTATAATTCTTTGGTTTGAATATGTTATTATACTTATCAAGGAAATTCTATGTTTAAAATTTAGAACCCTTTGGCAGATTATTCATCCCCTGCATACATATGCTTTTTTTTATTTACTGCACACCACACAATCTCTATGTATTTATTTACATGTGTAACACCCAAAGTTTACACTAACCTGCACTTGTAACTCTGCATTGTAGTGTGTGTGCATTGGATGGCAGCAATTCTGATTGTTGCAATCTGCACTTGTATGTTGTAAGTTGCAGTTATATGCTTTCAATTGGCCGGTTTTGGGTTATCCTTATTGATAACCACTAGTATATTTGTTGTAACCTACACTTTGATTGCTGTAACCTGCACTTGTATGTTGTAACCTGCAGTCGTGCTATTTCACGTGAAAGGGTTGATGCTATCAGGTGCACTGCTTTAATATTTATGGCAATGTTGTTTACTGCAGACTATTTGGACATTGTTTTGACATGTGTGGTACTCATCCGTCTGTTTTGTTTATGTAAATATTAAAGTTCGATTTTAAGATATGTAAATGCATAAGAATTTTGTTCTAGGTATGTAAATTTCCCTTGTTTTTTATGTACAAGATTACACAATAGAAAATGAGCTCAAGCAATTCGACAAGCTACCGATTTTTTGTTATTGCAATTTATTATGCGTTGTTCTCATGTCTCAGAAAGGTGACTATGCAAGACGAATACACGTGTCCAAAAAATTTAACAAAGAAAGATTGCAAATTTTTCAAGAGGGTTGATGACCCAAGGGATGCAATAGAAGAGCGAGTCGACGAAAAGATAAATGCATTTGATGATACGGTGAAAAATGATGTCAAAGACTTATCCCAAAATATTTTTATTCTTCTATAATTTCGAGTGTATCACTATACTATACCTGAAAGGATATAATTATTAATATAAACCAAGGGATGCAATACCTGAATAAATGCTTTACATACACTAAATTAAAATAAAATAAAATAAAATGAAGGAATCAGATGGATGTTTCTCAAATCATTGCTTTATACAATACTACGGGAGAAAATAAATTAACATATTTTCCGTCATTTCTCATGAAATCTACAAAGTATTTTCCCATCATGAACAAGATTACAAGATTATTATACAACCACTCTGAACATGTTCATGTAGTTCAGCTGATAGAACTGGTTGGTGAATTATAAAAGCTTCATTGTCCATAAAAAAATATATATATATATAATTCTTGTTTAATGCAAACTGACTAATTCATAACTTTAAAGAAAGATTATCCTGAGTTTATGCCAATACATAAGAGCTACAAATAGAACATCAGGAACTAATTTTTTTTTTCACTTATAACGTGAAATTTCATCGTTTACAAGAGTCTCAACGTTTAAATTAAAACACATTATTTTACAAATATTTTATTTGCATATTTCCCCAGATCTTTCATTAGATGTTCGAAGATTTACTGAATTGCTACTCATTTGATGCAGGGAATTACACAGAAACAAACAAAGAAGAGGAAACCAATGTGAACTTTCAGAATCTACTCATTACATGCACGGATACTACAGATGAGGGCTTAAAGTAGTTTTGTTGAAAACATTTCACCATTTCCAGAAAACGTTTGATCCGCATTTGTACTTATCCTTCCCTTGGCATTCCAACTCCAAGTCCTCAGTGAGGAACTTCACCTTCTGCATTATCACAGCAATTTCATCTTTTTTTTTATATATAATTCTTTATTTATTGCAATCATTCAATGGTAATTATAAAAATTTCTATACCAACTACCAAAGCTGTAGATTTTGCAGACAAAAGGAGATTTTAAGTTAAGCTTTGCAAAAATCCCTGTACAAGTTTAATCCGGGAATGAAGAGACAAACCTTCTGTTTAGCCAAATCTTGGCAACCGGTGAAGTTCTCAGGGAACTTGCACGTGCCAAATTCCACAGTGTAAGCACGTGCCAAGTTTGCGCCGCTGGTAGCCAACCTCTTCTGATCATTCAATTCCTGTTCATAACCACAGAAAACCAGTTCGATTTCGATTTCTTCAGCAGACTGAATTCAACTTTCCTAAGAGCTTCACAGGTTCTTTTTAACCAACCTTATTTGCTTTGCTCCTCTCAAGATATTCTTCGATGATGCCAGCATTAGCTGAAGAGGTGGCGGTCGCCACCGAGGCAGAGAAGACGACCGCAGCTAAGCCGACGAGAGCCGCCCTTCGCCCCTCACCTGCTTCCTTTGGTTCAATTGACGGAGATTTCTGGGCTCTTACAGAAGGCGATTTTATGGAGGAGGGACAGATCGGTGCGGCCGATGGTGTGGAGGTTGAAACGAGCTTGATGCCGGCCATGGATGGGGCTGAGATGACATGGCTGCAAGCCAAAACGGTGGAGTTTATGGCGGCCATTTCTGCTATCAGGGAAGGGGGATGAGGTCTTTCAATTAGGGTTTTGGGGGGAAGGAAGACGGAGGAGTGGGATTTCGTTTTGTGCCTGTGACAGGTTTTATGGGGAAGGGGATTGGAAGGAGGGGGAGTGTGGTGGGCGGGTGGATAAGATCAGATTTTCTTCAAGTTTATTGGTAGTTTATGGAAAGTCTGGACCCAGGAGCTCGATTGTGGTTTATTTTGAATAGTGTGGGGTCCTTTGTTGAGTTGTGGTCCCTCTGAATTAAGAGTGATTATTGCTTGCGGAGCCGCGATGTCAGTGAGCGCACGCAGTTCTGCATGTACTCTCTGCACGTAATAATTAGATCTGAATTGAGGCTTTACGGAAAATAGAAAAATATTTGGGGATAAGTACATGGATAGAACTTCAAATTTTAGTATTAATAAATTAAGGCAAATTTTAAAAATAGTAGCTATAAAGCTCGTTGAAAATGCTGTGATAATTATTATAAATTCATTCTAATATCAAAATTCAGATCGTAATTTTTTTATAGTCACCACACTTTTAACATGTTAGGTTGAAAAGAATAGATTTTTATCATAGAAATTTCTAAAAAATAGTTCTCAAAATAAAGTTACAGTAACAGCTTGAAAGAACGAAGTAGCCAGAAGATTGCCCAAAATGGATCATAACATTTAGGTTATTTTTTAAAACTATTATAGATTAAAGAGAGTGCTAGTTTTGCAAATAACAAAATTTTGAATTGTATGCATGGAACTATCCACAAACGCTTTTTGCAATTTTAATTTTTTTTAAGATGTGTTAAACATTTATTGGCATTTCACATATAATTAAAACTACGAAGATTTAGTTACGTACCAGGACTGCAAATGAACAACTACACTCAATGAACAACTCGAACTCAGCTCGATTAAGGCTTGATCATGCTCGTTCAAATTAGTAAATAAGAACAATTTATAAAATAATGGAGCTTAAATGCTCGATAGTAAGCTCGATGACAACTCGTATTTCATTATTTGATTAAATTTTAATTAACTAAAATTTGTTTAATTTATATTTAATAGTAATATATTATTATAGCAATATCTTTTGATTAATTGTTGGTTATATATTTATTTTATTCATATATCATAATTAATTATATGCTTATTTTATTAATATATAATTATTAGTTATTAATTATATAATTATTAATTAGTTTTTTAAATACTAAACTAATACTATAGATGCAAGCGCACATTTTGTAAATAACAAAATTTTGAATGTTATAATGCTTTCTACAATTACATTTTTTTTCTTAAAGATATGTTAAAAATGCACATGTATTTAGTTGCATACCACCCAATCCAGGTGCTCAATGCCTATGCTTTAATTTTTACATATATATATATGCCATCTTACTTATTTATGTATAAAAAGATGTATATCACTCTTTAAAAACTATAATAATGATATGTTTTTATGTGAAATAAAAAAAAAATATTAAGTGGTTTAAAAATATAATAAAATTGGTTGGCATGCATATACATGCCCCAAATATTCATTATCAAATTATGTATTTAGTGTTTTTAATGCGTTAATGTTATTTGTATTTGTTAGCGATTAATACATATTTTATGACTAATAATAGGTAAGGTTGTGAAGCTTGTCATGAAAGTCAAGACGGCAGTGAAGTTTGCTCATCTCAAATTTTAGTCCTATGGGAAATTTGCACGTGGAAAAACATTAACTTTTTTCTTCTATTAAAAACTTTTAACCAAAAAAAAACCCCATAGAATTATCAATTTTTTGTCGTGGTTACAATTTCCGTCCTAATTTTATTTATTACAAAGATTTTCTTATCGACAGTATCCATCAACAGAAAAATTATTGCATACAGACATCATACCCGTAGATCACGGTGATTTACGGTAATGAAGAAATCAAAATCTTTTTTAAAAAAAAAATTTAAAGTGGGGCCCACCAAAATACATCATGACCGACACCTCTCTATATGCGGTGTCTGTATACAATAATTTTTCCCATCAACAACGAGCAAATTAAGATCTTCAATACGGTCACAACATCCTAAGAAGGCAACAAATTCAAATTTGCATTCTTATTCCATACATTTACATACTTCATACAAACCAAAAACTGCCATTCATCACTGCTGAGATTTATAGAACCCAAATGGAACAATGAAGCGAGAATAACAGAATAAACATTATAATTGAAACAAAACTGGCAAGCCAGATAATACAACAAACAAAATTTCGGCTATTCTGGGTTAATTCCGATATAACCATATTGATTTCACCAAGTAAGAATTCCATCCAATATTAGTAAAGTTCACGTATGGTTATAAGTTTAATTCAGCCTTTTATACACCACAAAATAGACAGGAATGGAACAGGAATGGAATAGCTGCTGCATCTACCTCAGTTGCACTTCTTGCTCGTCATCTTAAGCTTCCTCCAGTTTTTTACAGCAGCACTGGCTCGAAATCTCTCCATTTTCATAATTCTGGAAAATCTACACAAAACTCTTAACCAATATTCCCATCAAATAACATCATGTTGCAAATAAGTAGAAGCAAATATAATGGCCGCCCCAACACGAATAATTCCTATTGGCAAAAGAAAGAATGTCAGCAACAACTTGGCGGGAAATGGTGATTGGAATGACAGATAACCTAAGGGTGTGACATATAACCCAAGGGTGTAATTGAGTCAAGCAAACTCGCAATCTTGGCTTAATAAATGGCTCTTGAATTGAGCTTGATGAGTTAACAAACCAAGCTTGAGCCAACCTCAACTTGACAAAGCTCGATAGCTGAGTGGTCTGAAAGATAATACTATGTAAAGACATATACATGCATACCACTCAGTACCTATTTATTTAAATATAACACCTAAACTTTACAGGTAAAAAATTGAAGTTTAGGTGCTAGATGTGTAACTACATATGAACTGAGTGGTGATTGTACGTAAGCTTCTAATTATATACTACTAAAAGGATATTGATGTTCAATAGTTTTGAGTAGTAAGAATTTATTAAAATTGCTTTCAATTACTTCTATAAAATGATTTCTTATTATTTTGTCACTTAATTTTCGTTCTTTATATTATTTTATCATAATAATAGCTTGCTTCAAATCATTTTTTCTATTTTATAAAAAATAAACGGGCTCATGAGACGACTCGATCGCGATTAATTAATCAAGCTCAAATGCGTTTGAGCTTGGCTCGACTTGTTTACACCGCTCATCTAACTAGAATAAAAATCTATAATGCTCACCTTATCAATGCTTCACACAAGCAAAACACAAAGCAACTTCTGCTTGTGCTTGAAGCTCTTCCAAGACTCGATTGACGTCCTCCTTCCTAACGGAAGGTTCGAAGACATCCTTGAGCATGCTCCGAAGCCTTTTCGGGAGTAATCCGGTACAAGCAAAAAATGTTAATTATGCAGAACTAACGAGAAGAAAAATGGAGAGCAGTTTAATGAACTAGAAACAAGTAAAATATAGCAATGTTTTTAATGCAATTTTCATCTCAAACATCATCAAAATATCCCAATTTTTTTAAATTTTCTTAACAATAGGATTCATCATGGAATGAAGCACGATATGGCAGTCTAACTTTCCAACATCATAAAGCGCGCAGAAGAAAAAAATAATTTTTGAAGGAATGAACATTGCATGAATACCTCCAAGGGTTCGTTACATTTCGGTACATTACTAATGTTAAAAATTAGACACCTGCATTATAAGGAGTTGAGTGCCCAACTGTATAATTGAAAATCCCATGCAATTATATAATAAACTTGGTAAGTTTTTCTTTGGAAAGTAAAGTGCCAAAATAGTCCCCTAACTACTTATATGGGTTCATTTTAATCCCAGAGTGTATAAAAGTACAAAATTAGCCCCACGTTCTTTAAATTGGGGCTGAAATAGTCATCCCAAGAGATTATTGAGCCCAAACTAAAAGATTATGGGGACTAAAATTGATATTTTTATATACTCTAGGACTAAAATAAAGGCATATAAACAGTCAGGGGACTATTTTGGCACTTTACTCCATTTTTAGATATACCAAGAACTTAATTAGTATAATTCTTCAATTGGGAAGCAATTTGTGATTGACAGCAACGGCACTAAAGTTAAGAGGAAAATCTCTTGTATCTTATTGAGTGAATATAGTTGCACATATATAAACATAAAGGCCGAATACAACATAATCAAGATTTGCCTTGCCTATCCTTAAAATACCAGGATATAAAAAAGTAGTTAAATCATATACTTCTAGTATGGTACTTTTTCACTATAATGCATTCCAATCTAACACTCATCTGCAATAACACTCTCTCAAGTTAGACACATATATCAATAAGTTCCAACTTGTTGGAGACATGATTGATGGTATTCTTTGATAAATTTGCATCCCTAATAAGTGGTAATCGACTAAAATGTATTTGATTCTTTCAATGAAGATAGAATTGCTCGCAATGAAGATAGCCGCTTGATTATTACAGTTAAGGATTATAAGTTGTGTGACAAGTTAAATTATTTTATTTTAATTCATATGGCTTTGCATCTAAAAATATTTTTTTTAGTAATGTCTAAACCATCTCTCCTAGTGATTAGAATGCCATCAAAATACATAGCTTTGGAAAGATTCCATATGTTATTCTCTCCTTAAGTAGGATCTTAATAGAGAAAAGTATTACTTATATCAATTTAGAGCAGAACTTCAATTAATGCCAACAAAAAGAACATAATTCAGTTGGCCAATTGGAGAAAAGGTCCCAAATAGTCAATGCAATGAATTCAAGTATAACCACAAGTCGAGACTTAGATCTATCAATAGAACCATGAAAATGTAACTCAACCAAGAATATTCCATCATCAACAAATGAGTTTAACCATAGAAAGGTGTATAAACAAATCTCAGGTACAAAAATTAAGAATAATGCTCATCTCTTGATTAAATGCATGCTTCCAATCAGGGCCAAGCAAAGCATTTGGGTATATCCTAGGATTGAGACAAAAGGACAAAAACAAGTATAACCGATGAAAGCATAGAGAGCTGATCAAATGGCATAAAAGAGTATAGGTAGAAGTTAAAGTGGGAAAAAATTAGCGAGAAAGTTCATGACAGGCATCTTTCAAAGAGACAATTAGTCTTCTCGTTGATGGATCATAATATCAATAATCATTTTAGTATAAGAATAAATAAAAAGATGCATTGAATGACACTAGGATAGGTTTTACTACGGTCTTAGCAAAGAGAATGGAAGGAGTACACAGTTGAAGAAATGATGGGTTATGTGAAAAGAAGGTTTATGGGAATTAAAAAGATTGAATGGAGTACCTCTGCTTCAGACAATAGAAAGCTCACAATTAATTTAAGTAATAGGGGGGAAGAAATATATTCCCCAAAATCAGAAAAAGAGCATGCATGTCAAATACTGAAGTGCGAGCAAAATTAAGAAGATGTGCCTATCCAACCCATTTTGCCGAGAGAATAAATGCAATTATAGGTACAGAAAGAGCGAAAGGAAGATTTTCAAAATTTAAAAGCACAATCAATGCAATGGATATTAATTTGAATAATAAATTATACTTTATTTCCTGATAGAATTATTTGAATATATATAGGATTTCAGCTTGATGCTTTAATCAATAAACCGAAATAACACTGGTATGGTCTTCAATGATAGAAGCTTTAAAAAAAAACTTAGATGGGTAGAGAAGAGTCTTGGCCTCTAAATTTTAGAGTGGACCAAGTCATAGGCTGCATTCTAACATGAAGCCCAAGAGAAAGAGAGCTCAATGATGCTTATGAATATGCAGGCTGCCTTCAAAAGTGAATTCATAGGATGCATTCTTTGGTCAACCTTTATAGATAAAATTTTAAATTATAGATTAAGAATTCCTTCAAAAGTGTTTGTGAATGTAGAACCACCAAAAAAGCAACATTTATAAATATCCAAATTAGAATAAAAAATCTTACTACAAAAAATACAATATAAAACACAATTCAAGTAAAATATATATATTTTTTTAATAAAGATATTAAGTTAGCCAAAGAAACAAAGATTGAAAACCCCCAATAGAGACATTCACCTCCTCCAAACATATTAAATGACTCATAATATGTGCTCGAAGATGTGCCATTTTTCTGGACATTGACCTGGAAATTGTGGTGAAGTCCCTCAAACCCACTAGAACTCAAGTGATTAGAATTGTGCTTATGATAGATCCAAATATCCATCAAAATTAACCCAAGCAGATTAAGAACCTAAAGATCACAATTGAAAAAGATACAACATACAAAAAAATTCACATATATTTTAAAGATAGATCAAATAGGCAAATTAAAGTATAAAAGAAAACCAAGATATAGAGACCACCAAAATAAGAACTCAAACTTTATGGACAATTCATGCTTAAAAAAAAAAAGAAACAAAAACACACCATAACTTCTAATTCTGAGCTGCAATCGCAAGGAACAAAAATAATCATCTCCATAGTGAAAATGTGAACAAGGTAGCAAGGTAAAGTTCTAGCTAAGTAGAACGAAATAATAACCATTATATTGTTATTCATTTATAAAAATAGTCACATCTGCTAATATATAAAAAATAAAATTAACTCTTTTAAAGTGCAAAAACAAAGAGATCAACATAAAGTGAAAAATTGATACTGCAAGCTGACTTGTATGAATACTTATTTCAAGGAACACCAAGGTTTGGTCTGGTCACTCCGTTTCCAACAAGCTAAACACAACTCATGTTCCATAGTGAAAGCAATGTAAATGGTGGGAAAAAGTTTAGAGGGAGGGAAGTTGAGTGTGACAAATTCACCAACATTTTAGTTACAAATTAGCATACAAGGGAAAAAAAACCTTAGGATTGACCATTCTTGATAAATTTGATTGTCATGCAAAAAAAAAAAACATAGAAAATTGAAAAACAAATTGAGCAGTGAAATAATGACAAATTCATATGGATGTATTATATAACTATAAAGGGATAGATGGAAAGCAGGCAACATAAATGAGATTATTGTGGATTTTTTATAATTGATATTTAAGTAAAGAGTAGTGTAAAAGCAGAACCATAAACACAAAAAGATAAAATAAATTGAGAAGATGATGTATAATGCCTTGTAAGAATAATGACCATGATAGAAAGGACGGCATGATTAGATCATATAATGCCTTACCGGGAGGAGGGCGCAAAATTGAAAGCAATAAAGCAAAAAAAACCCTACTAATGAGAAAATCCCCACAGGAAAGCAAAAAAAAAGTTTTTTGTCAATTCAACTTCAACTCTAAAACTGAATTAGAAAGAATTATGTTTTATTCCTAAAAATATGCTTTGATTAAAAACTATGAACTATCTATGGAATAAATAAAAATATCAACTAATCCTAACTAATTTTAACATTTTAATAACTAACCCAAATACGAGAAGAAATAACACAATAAATTCATGGAGTACTAAGGAACTTGCACTACATCAATTCA